TTTAGACTCTCTTTGATCATCGAGCAATTAACATTATTCCTTGTTATTGTTAGAATTTTGCCGTGATAACAGCAATCAAAAGGTTGCTCCATAGCGTTAATTTGCTTCCATGTTTCATAACGTCCTTTCCAACAGATAAGGTGAAAAACCTCCGTAACGATTCTATTAACCTTTTTTATTTCGCGTTTGCTATTTGTCACAGTACACAGTCACCGGAAAAAAATAATGACCGATAAGACACACACCAAACAAAAACAACACTGCATTTGTTGAGGAAATTTACAATATTTGTTCATTGCTATTTTTGCGTCTTCGCATGGGTGTGCGGTTCGGTAGATATTATTTTAAATTTTACGAGCCACGTATTCCGTTTTTTCCCCAAGTACCGCGTTTCGTCGTAATGAGATTCCCTATAAAACAAGGGTGAGATCTTATTTAAATTTTAAACTTCCGTCGGTTGGGGTGAAGGGTTAATTGTGCGCAAGTTGGATAACATCTTGCATGCGGCCTCAACTACAGAATTCTGGTTGCTCGAAACAATGTATTGTCGGAAAGTTGGCAATGATCTTCTGTTAATAAGGAAAGTTTGGATTATTGGAACGTTTATTTTCATTATAAATTTTGTGTTTATTGATTTATTTGCTTATTTTTGGCATTTGGTACGCTCAGAGGTGATTTATTTCACTGGCAGAAAACCAATTCAGGATTTATGGAGATGCAGCTGACGAGTTTTTTTGGTTGTTTTGGGTTTAAGTTCTTGCTAAACACGGCTTGATATCGCTTATTAATTAGTTAGGTGATAGGGGTGAGTGTAAAAGGGGGTAAGTGCTTATCGAATGTTCTGCTAACAAAGTTAATCAATCATAATTAATTAAAAATATGTATTTAACTTAGGGACGTTTTATTGATTTAAATTCGTTAAGGGCGTGAAAAGGGCGTTAACACAGGAAGATATAGTCTTTAAATTAATTTTTTGTGATTAATTTTAACGAGGGAAAATAATATTAATTAATGGTATGCAGAGCGTAATTATAAACAAAGTAGGAGTATGTAAACTGATCAACATAGAGCTAGAGGTGTATTTGCGAATTCATCTTCCTCAGCTTTCACGGTTTTGAATGATGTGCGCTAAGAGCTTTAGCGACTCAGCGTGTGTATCAAGTTTGGAAATTATTGATGAAGATGCTTTGGTTAGCGTTTATGAATATATCTTGATGGTTGTTGTGTTTACGTCTGGTGAAACTATGACGTGGAACGTTTTTCTGTCTTTGTTCAAAGAACAAGAGCAACATCATTACTTATTACTTTCTTTGTTGTTAATTATTTTAATGAGTTTATACGTATAATAAACATTAATTGCGGCAATGGGTGTATTGATTACATAGTATTGTTTTTCTCTTCAGTTCACCTTAGCTTTTGTGTTCTATAATTTTTAAGTTTCTTTCTAATGATTATTTTTCGTTGCATATAGTTCCCTGTACATTGTTTTGCACAAAAGTTATTGGACGTTATTAGCGTTATATTTAAATGAATAACCTTAAGTGATCGGGAAAATAAATGAAGAGGTGCAGTTACGCCTAGTTCAGTTACACGCAGATAAACCGATTTTTCTCCCAAATTGAATAGAAAATATAGTGGTTGCGTACGTAGCGAACGCCTCGGTTCAATTTTACGATCTTCCACGACATGGGTCTGTTACAAATTGGACATTAGTGATAAAGTGGAAATGCTACGTAATTATTGTATAAAAAATTATGTCGGTGAAGATTACGCAGCAATAATTTTCGCTGTTTTCACAGTACAGCAGTGATGAAGGTTGAATTTAATGTTTGCAACTGCACGATTTTCACAGTTAGCACTAAAAAGACTTGTTATAATAGTGAAATGTTGTTGCTTGTTTGTTACCTTAAATTCTATTAACGTAGCTGGTTTGAATCAATTTCAAATATTTCAAGAAATATAGAACATTTTAATATATTTTTTCTGTTAACGATACTATTTGCAAGGTGATGAAAGTTGACATTTTTCGGATAGCAATTTGTTTACTTCCCGAGCGTAAATCGAAAGTTCCTAGAATATGCAAAAGTAGGTATCCAATTTCCGTCTGGCTGACGTCTGTTGACGACTTTATTACGCAGATAATCTCCGAAACTACTGAATTGATTGGTGTGAAATATTTTCATTTATTAATCCTACCTTACGCATTCTAACGCAGAAACTACACAACCAATTGACCTGCATTTAGAATTCATATGTTGATCCCTTGTAAAAGCGTGATGACGTCAGCTTAAAATATTATTAAATAAACTTAGCTTGAAATTTATATTTGAACAGTCTCCTTTACATGTTTTTTACAGCTGTTTAGGCAGAACATCTCAAAAAGATTAGTGTTGATCGAATCGGTTTATGTTATTGAAATACTTACTGTATTTCCGAAATTCCGTGTTACACTGCACGTATAAAAGCGATGTACTATCCCTTCTAAAAGTTGACGACGTCACCAAACAAATTTTATTAAGACCTCACTTGAAACATATAGTATATATTTTTGTTTTACAGTACAGACAGGTATTATTGCCAATAAATAAAATTTCAAATTTTGTAACTTATCTAAGAAAATAGACTTCTTACGTGATTGCATTTCAGCGGCGATGAAAATTCGGTCCAAGTATTTTTAGACCGATTTCTTAACTCTGTAGTTTGTTATTCAAGGTCAATAAAAATTACCATGCCGTGATAATTTATCACTGTTGGACTTGGGTCGGTAATTGAACGATGTGATATCTGTGGTTGCAAAGTTCATTCAATTAGTAACTGAAACAAACGCTCAACAATATACCACTGACGACGTGTCACAGAATATCACCGTTACAGATGCATTTTTCAAAATGAGACAAATAGTAACCATGAGTCTTCCTGTAATCAAGCGTATTCTTTATTTTTACAGGAGTATGTTCGACATCTAGATTAAGGCTTCTGCAGCAGAACTCTGATAAAATTTTTGTATACTTGGGGTTCTTCCCGCCATTGTAGTTTGCACTCGTAATTTCAAAATTTTAACATGACGGATAGGTTTTTAAAAAGTTACATTCTTTTTAAATATAAGAACATAAAACTACATTGTAGTACTTGTACGTTATAAAGCCATGCCGGCCCTTGTAATAATAGTTTTCTTTGGCTGTTTCCTTTTATATTTTGAATTAGTTTTAATTTAGCAATCAAAGTTAGTTATTTTTAAAAAGTAATTACCCCATAATTATTTATTGTTATGGTCAATGCGATAAAATCAATTAAATATGGCATATTTTATTGAATTTTATATTCATTTTGACTCACTTCTGATTTAATCGAAAATTTTAAAATGAACCGTCGAATCTAATAGAGGGATGAGGTTTATAGATGAAGTCTAGAGGAGACGGGTAGATAGACGGACAAAAAATGTAATAACAGTAGAATTAAGTTTGCAATATTTGCTGAGACATTGAAACCTTTCAAACATTATAGATTCTTTCTAACGTAGCACAATTATTATTAGACATGTGCGTGCACTATTTTATAAATGATATCATATAAAGATAAACGTGTTTAATTTTAGTACTGGAATACTAAATAAACCATGAATGTCCTGTGAGTAACAATAATTAAAACCGTGTAATATTAATTGAATAATATATTTACACACGTGTATGTCCATATAGATAGGAAAAACTTGTTCATCGTAATTTATTAATAAGTACTAAATTTTTTTATGGATGCCTTCCCAACACTCTTTATGCTAAAATAAACACAGTTTAATACAAGCAAGAATAAATAGTCTTTAAAAAATCAGGAACGTTAATTATTATTAAAAACAAGGTGAACAGATTATATAGGAATGTTGGTTTATTGGGATTCCTGTTACTGGACACGATTTAGGTTAAGAAACATCGGAGATCATAGGCGGCACTTGGCTACATAGGATTATTTTGTCATACGAAATATGGTTTTCCAAGCTTGTTTTAAGATTTTACTTAAAATTTTGTTTAATCTCACGTTTGTACGTTCCAAAATTTTGAGGTTCACTATATTGTTGGTCTTTAGTTGAAGTCAACGTGCCAATAAATGAAACAGTTTCGATTTAATTGTGGAAAAGAACAAAATTTCTTTAAGTAAACCACATGTAAGTTAAAATCAAAATTGCTTATTGAAAGCCCCCATGTGTTCATGCACATCTGATTCATAGAATCTTTGCTCCTTTCGGTAAGCAATCGGAAAAGAGGTCAGGACTGTCAACATCATTAGTATAGTCGTAAGCGGTTTATTGTTGACTTCCAAGAAACAGAAAGTCAATATTCACTGTTCGGCGGACTCTAATCGTTTGTAATGGGAAGTTTTTCGCCTTTTTTATACACGCTGTATATTGTAATTGAATATTGAGGTCAGCTGTTATCATAATTACAACTAAACGACAAATACCGGTGGCTATTTAAGTTTGGTATAAAAATTTTAAGGTCAGTTGTACACGTCGAGATGTATTTGTCAATGATGGCCGTAATTATGCACGAAACTTGTTCTAAGCTATTAATTAATGGGATGTAGATAAAGCCGTTGCAACACGAAATCGAATTTTTAAGACATTTACTCGTAATGTAAGCGTTTCTCGCAACACATCGTCGCAATTTTTCTTAACCTCGTAAAATCAGCTTTTGATAATTAGTTGTGAATGAAATTAACATGTTTCATTTCATCCGAATGTCATGTGTCAATTTTTTACCAAAACAAGAAGTTGTTTATTTATTTTAAAGCTTCCAGAAAACAGACGCTCATTCCACCATCTCGAGGAAGTCACAAATTATGTAAGCGATTTTTTTGAAAGTCGACGGTTTCAAGTTTCAATTCTCTACGGTTTCGGCCTCTACTGATCCATAAAATTATATTACCCAGAAAAATTAAAGTTTGCGTTTAGTCGTCGGTCGTCCGCCTAATGGACTCGATACTATCAATTAATTTTGTATGCCAGTGTGAATAATTTATCACTTTTTCGGTTATCCTCATGTACGTCCAAGATGTAAATAAACTTATCAAGAAAATGACTCCGCGGGTCACTAAACTTCATTGAAACTGCTACATAATTTATCAACTTCGTTTTGTTTCCTGAATGTTTGAGAAACAAAATAGTTGTGGACTGGTCGCGGAATTCGTCGGATTAAAAATGGTGTCCTTGTGAGAAATAGAATGACAAAATGCTCGCGTACACCTTCATGGTAGCGCAGAAACCCGCCCTAAAGCTGCGGTTACACGTGTGTGGTATCCGCCGAGCCCGTCTGGTAAGCAGTAAACGTTGATGCACAGTAGTATACAAAAATTTTTTTGCTAATAGATTTTTAAAATTTTCCTATATCTAGTTTAATAAGTTCGTGAAAACGAAAACAAAAACAAAAACAAAAGCTTCTCAATATTTACTGCTTTCCACACACGTTCCACGAGCACCACGCACGTGTAATCGCACCTTAACCTCATTTAAACTTTTTTGCAGTGCCGTAGAACCCGCAGGAGCATGGCCAGCGGTGACAAGAAGAGCCCCCAACTTAGTAAAATCAAAGTGAAAGTTGGTAACAGCACAGTGACAGCCAGCGACTCCGACGCTAGCGTGGAAACAAACAGTTTGAGTGCGGAAAGCGCAACCGAACAGAATAATGTCCCGCAAACGGAGAAACGGCGCAAGAAAAATAGAAGAGGCTCGGAATGGGAGATAATGGAGGGACTGAAGGACGGACAACGTTTCGATAACAAGCCGAACCCCTTCAATGGCTTCTTGCACAAGAAGAGGAAGTGGCCGTTGAAGGGCTGGCATAAGGTAGGTGACAACCGAGACTTCCTAAATTTCCACAGAATAATATTTGCACCACAACTGCTGCACAATGCTTGCCGTGTCCCTTGGATAAAGATTTTTGGTGAAGTGACTGCTTTATTAATCATCTATTTGTATCATTCAGTTGAGAAAATAGTAAAACTAGTACAACAGTATCTAACTGTCATTGCAAATTTAAGAAGTATAATTGAATTCTAACCTAAAAATTTAGAATATACTTGTCGTTTGAATAATAAAATTGGGATGTTAATTTCTTGCTTAATGCGTTGTATTGTAATGGCGTTTGTATAAACATGGAACAATATGATACAGTAGGTCATGCCATCGAACCAGTGGCGGCTCGTGACTATTTTGGTTGGGTCGGCCAGCAGTGAGTAACCCAAAGTTTTAAGACATAGAATACAAGAACCAGGGACCTCAAGTCAGTCATTATCTATAATTTGCTTCCTGTATGGTGTTAATTCATATAGTCCTAACAACTTGGTAAAACAAAATAAAAAATATTCTTCAAATAGGTATAAAGTAAAGCATATACTTATACAATATAAGCCATCTATAATAATAAAATAACGACAATAAACTCAAATAAAAATGAAAATAACATTCAAGTTATAAAGTAACACATTCTAACAAAAAATATAACATGAAACGTCAACAACTATTTATTAGTAAAAAACAAAATTAAAAAAGTAAATTAGAAATTTTTATAAACCAATTCAATGCGTCTTTGTTTTGTATTGGCAAAGTGGTCAATTACTTGATTATAGAACTTTTGATCTTCCGTTAAGTTTGTAAGCACTTCTTTTTCTATTGCTAAAACGAATAATTTGGATAATCGATTTTGACTAATGGAGTTTCTAGTAAAATTTGTAATTCGCTTTAAAGCTGAAAAACTGCGTTCAACAAATGCTGATGTGGATGGTGGTATATGATTAAAATTAAAGACAGAAATAATTTCGGAGGCTTCTACATTTTCGTAAGTAGCATCATCAGGAGCAGGGTTGAGAAATTAGGAAGATGGCAAAAGAGCACGGTAACTCAATATGTCAATCGTACCAGACGACCAGAGGCAAAACTCTTTTTCTGAAGTTTTTTTGAATTTATTGTCAACATCATATTCAAAAATTAAACAATATCAACAAAATAGTTTGTTTGTTGACTTGCTCCCCGTCAGCCATTCATAATTTTCATACCATGCTGTATTAATTATTAATTATTAATATGCTATTGCACCGGAGCTGACGTTATTATTGCTCCGTGCTTCGATTAAATGTTGCATGCGCGGCTCCGAACGGGTCATTTCTTTTATATCCCAGGAATTGATCATCGTATGTTAAAAGTCGAAAGTCATTATTTAATAGATGTGTAACAGCATCAAAATTTAAATCAGTTACTAATTCTCTTACCAACTGTTGTCATTGTTACTGAAATTAGAAACAAACCTAAACCAATTTCATCCACGTGAAGACTGCAGAAATTCACAATATACAGACAGCGGCCGGCCGGTGCTGGTAGTGGGGAACCGCATGGAAAAGTGCACGGCAGAAGTGGAGTGATGAAACGTAATATTGTACGGTTTCATCGCTATTGCCTTCTAACTTATACAAACAGAAGGTGATAGCGCTATAACAACTTGATGTACTGCCAAAAGGCCGGCCGATTTTAGCAGACATTTGACCAATCACTGCTCCAGGCGCGTTAATCAGAGGGTATCAGACACGTATCAGTCTTTATAGCTATTTCTCTTTAATTCCGCTAAACAGAGAGCGATAGCAGATATGACATTATTCGACGTTTATTCTTGTAGTCGGCCGGCCTCAGCTGCTGCTCCTCGCAGTAAAAATATTTAAACTTCCCGGCACGATTTGTGCTTCCGAACGAAAGTGAATAAATTAGATAACGCTTTTTGTAATTAAAAAAATAATAACAACAGTAAAATCAGGTGATTTCAAAATAGCTTTAAATTATATTCTTGCGTTTAAAATAAAAATGAATATCGCAAATTGACAAGTTCGGTGACAGACTCGGCCTGGCCTAACTGGCCCCCCCTGACGAGCCGCCACTGCATCGAACTATTGACTCCAAGGAAAACAGATAGAAATATATATTAGGAAAAGAAATATAGCGAAAAGCCGGAAATTTTCTCGAGACGGCTTCATGTGTGAAACGTCTGATATATTTAGTGGCAATATGGTTGGCAACTCGCGTTCGTTTTATTCCCAGAAGCACTGTAAAGATAAAAGCAGTAAAAAAGAATCTAGGAATGAGCGATTGGAAATTGTGTTATCTCGACTTAATTACAGTGTGCATTGTAATCAATAATTTATTGCTGAACATTCAATAGCGTCAATAAATAGCCGGGATCAGCATAATTTGAGGATTAAGTCGGTATTTGAAAGGTGCATCGTTCACCTTTGACATTTTTATTTTTACATTTTTTTGTGATTCGTTTTTCGTTTTGTGGTGGGAGGGATGCGTTGAGCCTTTTTGCTTGGATTCTGTGGTGTAATTCTATTTAATGAATAAATTATTATTTTCGGTTTTTCCATCAAGTACTTGACAATGTATCTATCAATTACTGAAGAAATAATTAATGTGGAGGTCACGATCGGTATTGTTTTAAAAATAACTGTAATCGTGCATAATTGATGGGATTTAACTAATTTTACTTTCGTTGTACTGGAGTTTGAAAGAAGATTTGTTGCTACCGTGTCATGTAGACATAGAGCGTTTTTAAGCGATTCTAACGTGTCTTGTAAAGCGTTTGCAAGCAATCACTGTACATTCATCAATCTACATTACGTTAGGTATTTTTGTCATTTACTTGTTAGTTGTTAATTAGATTCGGAATTAAAGTGAATCCTGAACGTTGAGTATTAAAAAATTAATTTTACCCTTGGATATTCTCAAGCGTCATAGACCTCCTACGACGGGCTTGTTTGAAATTTTGTGATCAACTTAACTTCATAGTTTTATCAAGTTTAAATCATCCATCTACAATTAAACAGGAAACAATCATACATAAAATAAAGATCACTCTCTATAAATGTAGTCTTTTCACCATTACGTAACGTCATGCAAAGATTTTAGTGAATAAGAATTTGCATGTCTCACAGTCTTAGAAAACTTATTGATAAGTTGGATGTCGTGCGAATTGAACATTTGCACTCAGATGCCATTTAAAGACGTTATATTTTATTTAGAACTGCATGATATATATAGTTTTATTATATGCTATGTTTCACTCGACTGCGCTCACAATTACATCGACATTACTATTTGTGTAGGAAACAAACATTACTATGTAGTACAATGATGGCCTTTTTAGATACACTATAAAATTAATAGTAGCGTTTTTTAGCCTTTTTCGGAAGGGCGATTTTTTAGTGTTATGACATTTCAGAATAAGAGGTAGTAGTTTTAAAGTAATTTTGATAAATCATTTGAGAGCTTTATTAATGTAGGTAAACTTGAAAATTCTTGACTGGCGCTAAAGTTATGACGTGAATTTTATCTTATAATATACGTATTTTAAAACAATTATTGCTAACTCGATTTTTTGAAAAAAGTCCAAAATTTTACATTTTACAATTTAACTGAGAAATTACAAAACCTATTGCTCGAAAATCTTGCATTTTAAGAGATTTACCTTCAGGATCTTTTTCTTCTCTCTGAAGTTTCCAATCTTTTCCTTCATTTCCATATGAAAGCGAGTAAAACGTCGACACCTTGCTGACTAAATAACTTTGGACAATTCTCTTGTATTTTTTTTTTTTGTATTTTGATATGCCCTTTTTAAGTTTTGTAATCCAAAACGTTATCACTGTTTTCGTTCTCACCTGTATACTCCAAAATCCAAAATATTTGCTGTTTTATGTATTTCTGGTTCAGCCCATAACGCTTCTATTTTTAGTGGTTTAAAACATTTTATATCCAAAATTTAAGTTGAAAAATGTTACTCAAATTAGACCACCATTGCTTTTCTACTGTATCTTTGTTATTTTATTTCATTTATTTTCACTCTAGTAAATCTTCATCTGTATATTGACTACTTAATTTCTCTTTGGTGATCGTATTATTATTTTTCATCACATTTGTTTCAAATTTTAATATGTTGAAATCGAAAACGCCCAAATTATCTGACATTGCTAACACAATAAAATTTAAAAATTGCCATCTTCTAAATTTAATTAATGTCTATAAATTCAAACTTCACTACTGTTATGAAAACAGCTTTCGTTCTGAATTGAAAGCCACGATTTTTTTTTACACTGACATTAAATATCGAACTTTTGATTAACACATTTTGAAAATATTTTAGAACGCATTAATCTACACTCAAACTGGTCTTCAAAACAATTTTTATCGATTTTTTTTTAATTGCCAAATTTTATAACTGAACCTTTCTTTCGGACAATTCTTTGAAAAAAGGCCTAAATTTTCTACTATTTTTGGCTTAGTTTCTTGAATGATAAACATGAGATTGACTCTAACTTGGTGTCAATTTTTTAGTTTCTGTAGTTTTTTCACAATTTTTAACCCAATCTTGCCAAAATGCGTCACTTTTTTTGTATCGTACACTTTTTCGTCGATAATGAAATAACTGAAGAGAGCAAATTTGCCTCAGCAATTTCACAGTATATTACTGAAAATTTGCAGAGTCACATGCTGTCGATGCATTATATTTTTCAAAATTGCCTGCATAGGTGGTCTCAAAAATTAATGTATGAACTGATTTATCTTCTCATTATCTCAGAAAAGGCTTACCTAGTGTTTCTGAAATTGTTGGAAATTAGTTATGTTCCAGTTCGTGTACATTATGTTTATAATAAAACAATACGTTTATCTTTACTAGGAAATGTTGTTACAATTTAAAACAATACTTTTCGCATACATACATACATCGAACTCCGATTAAGGTTAATGTTAGAGTTCAAAACTTTCTTTAATATTTTGTTATTGATATTTATTACGAACCGAAACAA